TTGTACTGTCATGCCATTAACCCCTTAGTGGCACAGCTTAAGAAAAACATTTTGCTCTTGGGGACCGGAGTAATTTTGCCATGTGTTTGTACAACCAGAATTACCATCTTCCTCATTTATTGCACCTACACATATTAAAGGATAAAATGGGCTTTAATTTAATGTGACATATGAATATATAAAATTCTTATTTGTTTTTATTAAAAAAATATAAAATACAAAGAAACAAGTTTTGCAGAATTTTGGCAATAATAATAAGTACATAATTAGTGCAGCTGACAGAAAGTACTTCATAATAAATTATTTTATTTGTCCTGATTTATCGGGTATATTGTATGGCTGAGACTTGTTGGAGCAGTGAAATACAATTTTAGTGTGGAACATTTTTAGAATGCCACCAATTGTGCAAGTTCTCCCACTTAAAAAGATCAGAGAGGCCTGTAATTGGCATCATAGGTAGACCTAATGAGAAAACAAATCCAGACAAATCACATTGGCTGATTTGGAACTAATGTATTTGCAAATTATGGTTGGGATAAAAAAAGTTTCCTTTTTTTCTAAATGAGGGCACTGAAGAGTTCATTTTTTAAAGTTATTTATTTTTTTCTAGGGGCATTGGATACTAAGTATTCTGAGGAGATACTTTGTACCACTTTTGTAACTGATCCGACTTGTAGCTCCAGAACACAGTGAGCTGCAAGCCGACTCAGTGGCTGTAACAGCTCTGTGATCACGGTGATTACCTATCGTGATCACGGAGCTGGGACCCCTAATTTGCTGTTGAGGATCTGCCTCAGACACTGAGGGACCCTGCAACAGCATGAACTCAATGAGCGCTGGTCCCTCCACATAATTTTACGGCATGTGATTTTTTCATTACCGGTCTTTAAAGGAGAATTATGAGGCAAGTGATTTTCACTCAGCCTCATAATCTGAGCCGACCTGTGATAATGAAACTGTCACAGGTCGGCTCAGTAGATCGGGAAGTGAGCGAACACATAGCGTCGCTCACTCAAAAGAACATGACGGAATAATCCCACCATCAGTCCAGAAGGGGTTAAAGTCTGCAACCAAGAAGGAGGCTAACAGGGCTAAACACTAAACCTACGCCAGAGCATATGCAATGGCCCAGGCTAAATGCAGCCATGCTGTTACAGCTCCCATGTCTGGGACACAGGAGCTATACTGGGCCAGAGCAGCTGATACCATATCATCTTCAATCAGGCCAGGTCACCTGGGACATCGCCAGTAACCTGCAGGGAAAATTCACACATGTACCTTTCCCGGCATATGCGCTCAACCTGGTGGTGCAGCATTTCATCATGACATATCTTGACTTCCAGGAGTGTGGTCACTTTGGACGGTTATACCCAACCAGTGTTTGCCTGGCAGAAATGCAGTGCCAACAAAAGCTTCCTGCCAGCCACCTTATCTGTAACTCTCCCACATGCTGGAATTCAATGTTGGCCATATTGCAGAGGCTGCACCAGCCCCAGTATGCCATCAATAAGTACTTCTGTGATTATGGTATGAGGACAGGCTCTGGGGAGTTGGGGTTCTTTTCATCATTCATTATAGGTGCTGCATTTTGGCACCTTTTGAAGCTTAAAGGCATCCCCCAAGATTGCGTTTTTCCCAGGTCGCCCTCAAAGTCACAATAAAAAGGACCCTTTCTCTGCTGAAGTTCTTAAAAATGTTGTTTTGCTTTGGTAAATGTCCCCAACGGCAGTGGCCACATGCTCTTTTTTTCTTACAATAGCTTGTCTATTAACCTTGGCCAGAATTTAGTATCAAAAGTCACCCGCTATAGACTTCAATGTGGTTCGCTGCTAAGTGCAGGTTGTGAATTTCAAGCAGGATTAGAAGAACCCGACATCCCTCCCGCAAATCAAACCCAGACAGAGTGGCTCATCCATACCCACAATGACGATTCCCTCAGGAGAGCATTGTCCAGGTAACTGACAATAGGGAGGCTTTGTGAGACCAAAGGCATTCAAGGACCTTGTGCTGCAAGATAGGGTGGGGGGGGGGAGGGACTCCTATTAACTTGAAAAATGAACTGTTTGGGTAAAAGCCAGGAAACCTCTCTGAAGGGGGAGTCAAAGCAATGACCTCCTGGGCTAGTAATTTTTAAAAGGGTCTGCTTGATATCTGCAGGGAACAAGAAGTTGCAGGGAAATTCTGAAGACAACAAATGAGGAGGGGTAGCAGTCCTAAGAGAACAAAGAATGCTTGGGAGAAGAGGAGGCAGAGTTTCCATCCCTGAGCCTTACACTTCAGATTCTGGGGAAGAGGAGTGCTCTTACTTGTATAGCTGATTGGAAATTCACTTGATGACCTTCTACAAACAGGCAGTCTCGCCTTAAGTACATTAGAAGACTGATCTGCTGACCAGTGTTTAAGCCAAATGCCCTCCTTATATTTGCAGACATGAGTCTAATAAGGGACAGGAAATGACTAGAGTCCAATGCTGCATTATACATTAGCCATGTGATCTGCGCTCACCGCTGTTAAATCCTAGTTGATTTTTAGATCCAATAGAATGAGACAAAGCCAATAATCAGGACTGCTTGGAGGGCAGACCCCAATAGAAAGTAAATAAAAGGTTGAATTCTCTTTTCAAGGAGGGGGCATCGTCAACAGGAATAGTAGTAGCCTTGTGGAGGCGAGACACTGAGGTCCACGATGGGACATGGACCATTTAAAAAAATAAAGAGACAGCCCTGGTGAGCAGCTTCATATTATCCTGCATTGCAGGAAAAAAACGTTTGGGGATAGCAAACGCCTGATCCAAGTTCTTCCGTTCCTTTAATGTTAATTGGTCAAATAAAGGATGATGGAAAAGAACATAGAGCACTTGGGCCTGTAAGATCCCAGGCTCTAAATGAGTGAAGACCACTTTTCACTGCTCAGAGTGTTCTTGAAGAAGCCCATTGGGACACCTTCTAATCCAAAGATGGCAGAGATTGCCATCTTTGGCCATACACCTCTGGTGGCTGCAAAGCTTCAAAATTTGCAGTCACATCTAAGGAAGAGGCCTCACTGGAGGAGGAAGCAGGGAACTTACTACCCCTGCAATACACATTTAACACTAGCTAAGAGGGTTGAGACTTGAATCTCTTCATGAGAGAGACTATGAGACAGATGGAAACAGCCACCCCAGAGGGGTCAATGAGGGCTCACTTAGAGAAGCAGAATACTCATGCAAAAGGGCAGAGCAATCCTCCTTGCGTTTTGAGGCAGACAAGCTAGAAGAAAAACAGAGGTGCTGTCAAACACGCCAATCAACCATAACATGACCAATGGGAGGTGAAGTGAACAACATTGATCCATGTCACACTGCATGGCAGGTTACTGAACCCAGTACATCTATTATGGCTGATTTAAATGCATTTTGAATAATCTTAAAAAGACGCTGTCATTTTGTCTATCCTTGATACCCACCTGGTGTTGAATCCATCATGTGACAGGATTGGCTTAGTAACTGCCTGCTAGACTGAAGGCCTTCTACATGGAAGGAGGTCACACTGGATATCGGAGCAAAAATGTAGTGGTTCTGCTGAGAGGATAAATTACTCCACAGTGAGGCCTTTCAGAGCTCATGCATGGTTTATAAATTGTTATAAATGTTTGAAGCTCCATAGCCTGGCCACAGTTACACGTCAAAGTTAACTCCAGCTAAACTGCCAAATCAGCTCATTGGGCCGTAAAGGAGTTTCACAGCACTAACAAAGTCCTTCCTCTGCTCGTCTTGAACACCTCCCCCAGGTTCCATGTGCCTAAAACACAGACCAATGCTCCTATACAACATATTGATAGTTTAACCAGTTGACATCCGCGGTGTTAAACCCCCTTCCCATCCAGGCCATTTTTCAGTATTCAGCGCTGCGGTACTTTGACTGACATTTATTCCGTCATGCAACGCTGTACTGAAATGAATTTTATACCCGTTTTTGGGGACAGATAGAGCTTTCTTTTGGTGGTATTTAATCACCACTGGGGTTTTTATTTTTTACTATATTAAGGAAAAATTACCGAAATTTTAAAAAAAAATTATGTTTCCCCTATATTAAATGATAAAACATTACCCATTTTTTTGGTAAAATATAAAAGATGGGGTCACGTCGGGTAAAAAGACAAACACGTCAAGCCTTAAAATTTTTGAAACCTCAAAAAACGATAATACCCAAAATTGGCCATAGGCGAAGCTTTAAAAGCTTTTACCGCTCATCAGTTTAGTGTTATCAGTGATTGATGGCCCTAAAATGATTGCTTTCACTGCGACGTTCGCGGCGATATGTAACGCGTGTAGCGCAATTGTCGTTTTTGCATGCTGGTTCACCGGACGCGTATTTACGTTTATATTTAACGTGGGGGTGGGGGGGAGTTAAACATTTTGGTTTTTTTTTAATATGTGACATTTTTTTTTTATATATACATTTTTTTTTTTGCACTAGGGGGCGCGCGCGAGCAGAAAAAAAATGCCGTCTGGAAACGGCAACCCGCCAATGCTGCAGTGCCGACCGTCTTTTTACAACAGGCGGACGGCAAGTGGTTAATAGGACTGCAACCAACTAATCGATAGAGAATAGTTGTCAACTATTCTCAATATGGATTAGTTGGTTGGATCCCTTAGTTCCCACCTCCACACTGAGAGGAGGGCACAGCAAGCGGGTGCAATAGCCAGTCTGCTATTGCAATTTGAAATGGTCAATATCAGGCTGGCTATTACACCAGATCACTACCTGCTATATTTACATTTAGCTGCTGTCTGCAGAATCTTACCACTGGCAGGTGTCATTATTTGGCTGAAGCTATTCAAGTGCCATGTGCTTACAATACAATTATTAATAAATTACAAAAAATATATCTATAAAATGTATCTATAAATTAAGTTTAATACACATAATGTGATTTAATTTTTTTTACCCCGTAACTGAATTAAAGTGGTGTTGCCATTAATAAGCACATGCTGAACAAAATTTCACACAGACAAAACATCACGTAAAAACCCACCTCTTTATTACAGCTTATGGATCTGTATGTTGTCAGAAAGAAAAAAAAAAAAAAATTTGACAAAAATATAAAAAACAAAATCTGAATACAGACTCATGCCATAAGCAATACAATACTATGAATTTCCAAAATACAAAACAGCGCTGCTTTTTACACTGAAATTTTTTTTATTTTATTTTTTTTTTTACAACAAAATCTGTAATGTTTCACCCTTCCATTCCCACCCTTAAATAACCCAGCAGAAGAAAAAAAAAAAGATGGAATAAAAAAAAAAAAAACAAGGGGGGATGGGCAATAAAATCAACACACAGGAGACGCGATCTCCCCTCCAGTGCCAAAAGCTGGTGGCAGCTGAGGGGTCATGTGGAGCAGTCTGTGCACACTGCTCCACTGAAAGGCTGCAGAATTGGCTCTGTAGTAATAACACATAGCAACAAAACACTTAACTATACACCTACAGAAACCACAGGTTTGCCTGGCGAGAAGACTCAACTGTGATACCAGCAACCTCATTTGGTCACAACAGCTGAACTGAATTTGACTGGAAAAGAAATTCATGGGTTAAAGCCTCTTTTGCAAAATTTGTAAAACGACAAGATCTGTGAGCGCATCCAATCCCCCAGTAAGTGCAGGTTAAAGATCTGACAGCTATCGGAACTGTTTTAATTAAAATCGATCAAATTACTTGTCCAAATGAGGGATACAATCATTTAAAATAATAATTAAAAAAAAATAGCAAAAGTGAGGGACAGGAGCAGAAAAACCTGATACTGCAAGCTCATTCGCTGCTTGTCGACATCTTTGGACCAAAAGAATGTAAGTTAAGAGTGGACAGAACAAGCAAACTTTGGTGTGTGTTGGCATGGAGACGGCGGATGAAATGTTGCTGGCAAGTTAGAACGCTGATTGGAAAATAATACATTAGAGGCTGTGAGATATTCCTTCTTTGTTCTAAATTTCACAATCAATACGTTTCAGACTCCTGATTCACACTTTACAGGATTGTGTCCCAGGGGGTTTAGAGGCCTCTGGAGGATATAGTCTAATGAGGGGGATTTAGCAATCGCTCTTCCACAATTTAATGGTCTTGTCGTTCTCTAGTGCAGCTGAAGCAATGATGTTTTCTGTAGGGTGACAGGCTGTTGAAATGACGACATCTGAGGAGGAGAAAGAAAACAGCAAAAAGACAAAAACTGTTATATAATGGAAGAAATTAGACTTTTTCGGAAAGCAAATTCAACGGAAGGACTGACAGATTATATTCCTTTATATATAATTGGCACATTCTTCACACTGCAAAAAGAACTGTAATATACAGTACAGTATACCAGCTTACTAGTGCTTAGATATGGTGGCTGCATTCATTTTTCTTTTGACTAACACTTCCTATCCTAAAGCGCGACTCCCCTGAATCTGGCCATGCACCTATAGATTATGTGCAGATTTTCTATGGTCAGATAGAAAAAGTGCAACAGATTCCATCATCTACGCTAAACTGTGTGGATGGAGTATTCTCCCGCTGGGCCAAGCTTCAGTATCTTGCTAGTCGGCCCCACCTGCTGTCAAAATACCTTAACAATCTGATTGGATGCAGGCATTGTTCAGGTATTTTGAGAGCCAGCGGGGCCGACTAGCAAGATACTGAAGCTTGGGTTAGTGGGAGATCCCTCCATCCGCACAGTTTAGCGTAGATGGAGGAATCTGTTGCACTTTTTCCACCTGACCATAGAAAATCTGCAGATTATCTATAGGTGTGTGGCCAGCTTTAAGGGGCTGGGTAAATATTAGGGGTCTAAGCAGACCCCTGACATCTCCCTTCTGAAATAGAAAATAAATTCTCTTTTTCTGCAGCCTCAGCACTGAATGAATGGAAAGCACTCAGTACAGAGGCTTCCCATTCATTCACAAACTGGAGATAATAAAATATTTATACTCAAACCAGTTATGAATGCGTAGAAGCCTCTATAGTGAGTGCTTCTACCCATTCAGGAAGTCATGAATAAACAGGAAATGTAAAGCATCCGCCCGGATTTTTTGTTGATAGCCGCCATCAGCCATTAAATTACAGAGGACCCTTCTGGTATAAGTTCATGATTGCTAAAGCGACCATGAGCTTTAGGTGAATGCCACCGACGTATGGCATACTTATGGGGCCAGATGCTAGCAGTTGTGTTCGGCTGTATGCCATACGTCGGTGGGAGTAAAAGGGTTAATGCATTAACATGCTCACACAAAATACTATTATACATTTGTATAGCTCAGACATATTACACTGTGCTGTATAAAGCAACCCCAGCATTGCAAGGCACGTGTGCCAACCACTGGCCATCTGACTTTTGGAATTTGATTCATGAACTGCGTATGTCTTCTTATCTTGTGGAAGCACAAGAATGCCAACTTATAAAATGACTAACCACTTTTCTCAGCAGTAAAATCACTTCCTAGAACAAAAAGCATTGTCAATTATTATCCACTTAAGGCAAATTGACAAATCTGTCACGAAAAGTATGACAATATCAAGTCAATGAAAAATACATTAAGAGTTCCCAAAGGACCTGTCTTACCTGTATGTCCCTGTAGTTTCTGCACGACCTCCTTGGTCTGAAGGTTCCAGATATACACCAAGTTATCCTCAGAGCCGGATACAATCCACTAAAAACAGAAAAAAAGAGTACATAATGTAGACATGTAAATGTACTGATCATGTATATATTAAAAAAAAAAAAGCAGTGGAGGCAAGGTGCAAGCGCCAAGTATACTGTTTAGAATTCATTTTTAAAGTTCCCCATTCACTTGTTTACTTGTGTAAGGTGAGCAGGTACCAGTAAAGGGCTATTTACATTACAAATTCCCTTACCGCTCAACTTATCCCTTAGACTGGACCCTGCATGGGCCAGGGTCATTCTCCTGACGAATCTGTTTTTTTCTGTAACAAGTAGTTGGAAAAATGTTTTTGTCTACATGTATTACTTATACTTATTGGGAAGCTTACTGTGTACAGCACCACATATATTTATGGCATCAATCATGATTAAATTAATTTACACAATTATGATTAACTGCTTCAAGTGCATTTTTACGTTTTGCATAGAATGTAGCAAGGTTAGAATTCCTGTAAGATAATGTTTGCATTGTCATAGGACATGTGAGGGGAATGTTTTCTGGTGACAAGTGTCTAATGGGACATATAGCCTCCAGTAATGACTGCAATATAATACATTTGTATTCTTGGGTTTAGATACACTTTACATTTTAGAGTGGCAACACATATGAATCTCTCAGGTTTTTATAACTGTCAAACTCACTCTCTTCCTGTGTCAGTGACCACAGAATAAAGAGAATCCCTCCATATGACACACAGAGAGCAATAAAAAACAGATAATGGTTCCAACTGCTTCCCAATCTTACACAAAAACCTCTGGGTTGGGTTTTTAACTATGGAATTTGAAATCCTTTTTAATGTTATAAAACCAAGTGTCCTGCCAAGAGATGTAACAGAACATGCGGTGGGTGGAGCCAGAAAAATACACAACGCAGTACATACAGGTGAAACTCGAATAATTAGAATATCGAGCAAAAGTAATTGCAGTAATTGCTGCAAAAAGTGCCCAAACCAAGTACTGAGTACATATGCATGCTTGTACTTATCAGAGGTCCGATATTGTTCTATGTACAATGCTTGTTTTATTGATTGCATGTAATAATCTACTTTTTTGAGGTTGTGGATTTGGGGTTCTTGGGGTTTTCATGAGCTGTAAGCCATAATCATCACAATTATGACAAATCACGGCTTGAACTATCTTGCTTTGCATGTAATGAGTCTATCTCATATATTAGTTTCACCTTTTAAGTTGCATTAGTGAAATAAATGAACTTTGCACGATATTCTAATTATTCGAGTTTCACCTGTAGACATCTACATAACAAAGAATGGGGTTCTACCTAAATTTCACGCAGCTGAATTAATGTTTTACTGCAGGAAGGACAAATCAACAGGCTCTAAAAGATTTTCAGGGCCACTTTACACCAATTGTCGTAGTTCTCCAGTGTTACCCATATATGAGCAAACCTCTCGTTGAGGATAGCTGAAAATAAATCTGCATGTCCTCTTCTCCACTGTGAATTCATAAGGAACTCACAACAACTTTATTCCCCCAGTTTGGTGATGTTTGAATATACCACCATCTCCCCCCAGGTTTTTATCCCCTATGCTATCAGATTATCTGAGGCAGTATACTGCTTATATTCATTGTTATACAACGGTCACCCAAATTGGAAATGCTTCTGAACATGACGTACCTTGCCTCCAGTGACAGAGAAGTTGGCGAATATGCAATACTTCTCATTCTTATGACATGTGTATGTTTTCAGGCACTGCAAAGAGACGTACAATTAGGAGTAGAATGTTATGGAGAAGTATACACAGACAAAATGTTGAGCATATAACATTTCATTCTCCCAGAAATTCTTTTTAAAGAAACCCATCAAATTGACCCTGACCTTGCTCAAATTAACAGAACTGAGGTACAGTACCACACTGTTCCTGAAAGCATCTAAAGTAGTTCTCTAGTTAAGCCCTGTGTGCCTGTGAAGCCCCTAGGATCCCAGCCAGGGCCTCAACCTTCAAGTCAAGGAAAATTCAATACACTATGCTCCACCACTATCTTTCAATGCAAATGCCAGAGCATTAGTGGGTAGTAAAAGCTCTGGGGTGCCCTGTGTTAAGAGTAAACCTGCCCTGAATACCCAGACTTGGCAACAGGCACCACAACAACTTTTACTGTGCTTAGCTTCTGATGGAATGAGGCGCAAGAACCCGTCAGGAAGGTACCACCATCTGTCTCCCTGATGGGGAAATGTACCCCCTCTAGATGCCCTAATGACCATTGTCCTAAGTGCATACAGTGATGGGAAATCCCAAAATATTATGGTTGTCACTGACAAAAAAACAAAACAAGAATAGGGGTGTCGCCCTGATGAAGGGACCCTGCGCAGCCCCGAGACGTTGGCTTCTTGACGCATGTGACGTATCAGTAAAAGTGCTATCCTTTTTACACATTACAAGCGAGTGCTGGTAACTACTATCTTTACTTGGATTGTTACACGGCGCCATCCGTGTCGTCATTTAGAGCACCAACGGATATTTCGTTTGGTTCAAGCGTTGTATGTTGTGCAGATGATTCTCTAACGCTATTCCATTCACAATGGAGACATTTTTCTTAAACTTACTGTGCCAGGACAGAAAGTAAAAATAAATAATCTCCCCTACGAGACTGCAAACTAAAACCTAAGAGGGGTTTTTATCCACTTCATACACTAACTAAAAATAAAAAAAAAGGGGGCTTTAACATTGAGAAATGCTAAGGAGCTTTGTAAATTTGGACTGCAACAGGCCCCACAGGGACACAGAGATGAGCTTGAAGACACCTTGTACTTATGTTAATTCAATCAATTCAGACAGGATGACCGTAAAACACACATCGGAACATAACTGACTCTAAATGATCACAGGTACTATAAACTCTGTTTCAAGCATTACAGAACACAGACCAAAGAATGATGATCCAAACCTAACCTCTCCAAAAAACAGGTGGACATCTTTATACACTGTATTTCGTCACCCAAACTACACAAGTGTCTAATCAGAAACAAAATCCCAACCCTAACCAAAATCCACTACTCTGGAAACAAGACACAAAATCCACTACTTCTCTGGAAACAAGGTAGCTGAATAGCACAGAACTGTCATGACAACCTTGCTAAGGCATGCTTAGTTGGGGAATGGGAAATGTAGAGAACTAAAAAAAAACCTGCAAAACATTAGCATAGATGCAATATATCCTAGAAAGCATCAGGAGATCACTCATTTATTTTTCATGTTGCAATAGTCTTTAACTGAATAGGAGTCTGTGACACCAAATAACAGATTAGTTCCATACAGAACCAAGAGATATAGCAATAGCTTTTTCCAAACAAAGTGTGTCTATGAGCAGCATTTACTGCTATACAAGGCTGCTTATCATACAAACAAGAGTTGTAGTCGGAGCCCTGCTGATATGAAACTGAATGCTGAGCAAACCAGGAAAGGCTAGAGAGGACCTGAGGTGTGCCGAGGTCACAATGGTCAGTATGCCTAAAGGGGGCATAGAGATAGAGAGAGATAGAGAGAGATAGAGAGAGAGAGAGATAGAGAGAGAGATAGAGAGAGATAGAGAGAGAGAGATAGAGAGAGAGAGATAGAGAGAGAGAGATAGAGAGAGAGAGATAGAGAGAGAGATAGAGAGAGAGAGATAGAGAGAGAGAGATAGAGAGAGAGATAGAGAGAGAGAGATAGAGAGAGAGAGATAGAGAGAGAGAGATAGAGAGAGAGAGATAGAGAGAGAGAGATAGAGAGAGAGAGATAGAGAGAGAGAGATAGAGAGAGAGAGATAGAGAGAGAGAGAGAGAGAGAGAGAGATAGAGAGAGAGATAGAGAGAGAGATAGAGAGAGATATAGAGAGAGATATAGAGAGAGATATAGAGAGAGATAGAGAGAGAGATAGAGAGAGATAGAGAGAGATAGAGAGAGATAGAGAGAGATAGAGAGGTGTCAGGACGATGGACCATCAGGTAAGCAAGGTGGGGGTTAAGAGCAGGGCTTCTCCCATAAATACAGGCTAGCCAAACTAGCCTTAAAACTTATATTAAAAGCTTCAGGTCATAAACAGGTCCTTTATGAACAATGCATACTGCTGGAGCAGGCTACAGGGTGGAAATAAATGAGTTATGAAAAGGTACACATATAAGCACATATAAACAAACTCTCTGACAGTGTACAACGCCACAGGAGACTGTTGACAAATTAATGGTTAATAACAGGAGACCTGGTGAGAAAGGTTGCGTAATTAACACTGGGTCGCAGGGCCCCCAAGGAATTGGTGCATAATTCTACCCCCTAATCAAAGTCGACCTGGGGAACACACGTGATTATCAGAAAAAGGAACAATAACAGCCTCTACATTTTTCCGCCACACTGAGGGCTGCTCCAGACAGTTGGGAATACCATCAAGATATTGAGTTACCAACACAACAGATGCTATTGACACAACAGGGCCCAAAACCCAAGACACAAAACTAAACACAATCTGACATATCCTGGTGACACCTACCTTCCCTTTGCTGTAGTCCCATAATTTAAGCGTGCTTGGAAGAAAAAATAAAAAGGTCACAATAATAAGCCTCAAAAGGTTAATATAAGCTTAAAACGGTTAAAACAAAAACACTGTCTGTTTCACAAATCAAAAAATGCAATATGTAGTAAGCTCTATCAGATTTCAGTATAATGAGAACACATCAGTAAGGGTAGGGTCACACCATTTTCTGGACCAGATCTGGTCCGGAAAATGGTGTGAACCTGCCCGCAGCTCCAGTGCATTCCAGACCAGACAAAATGAGACATGCAGTATTTTTCTGGTCTGGAAAGGACTGCGCTGGTATGAAAAGAGGCCAGAAATAGCATAGGGATACATTAAGATGCATTTTGGATCCGGAAACAAATCTGTTCTGGTCTTGAGATGATCTGGATGTGGTGTGAATGGGCCCTCAAACCTGATTTTTGCTGGTTGCCATGGGGTATTGGATTTTACAGCTTACAGAATCTACAAACATTAACATGATCAAAGAGATACCGGCGTTTTCTCACAACGTATCCAAATTTACCATTAAAAAGGTATCTAAAAAAAAGCGACTAAATGTCAACAACAGATAGTTCAACTTTTAATTTTGACATTCTACTACATAAAAGGCAATTTAAAAAAAATGATAATACACTATCTGCCTAACCAATGACTTCCAAAACACTGTGTCGTACTTACTTGTCTAAAGTGGCCGCTAGGATATATTTGCCATTTGGCGAGAACTTCACAAACGACACTGGAGGGTTATCATCATCTGGTGAAAAAATAAAAGTGAGTATTGCAAAAATAAATAAGAACATAAAACCCTCAAGTGCCCCCCCATCTAAAGCAATTTCTTACCAATGAGCGTTTTTAAGCACTGACCAGATGCCGTATCCCAAATTCGGCTGAATACCAAGAAAAAAAAATTAAAATTAGTAATTTGAAGAAAAAAAAAAAAAAAGGAGAAACTGATGCAGAATCATCATCTTAAGCTAGCCATACACCTATAGATTAATCTGCAGATTTTCTACGGTCAGATGGAAAAAGTGCAACAGATTCCTCCATTTGTGCTAAGTGAGAGATTCCGCCATCCACACAGTTTAGCGTAGATGGAGGAATCTGTTGCACTTTTTCTATCTGACCATCAGGAGTTAAAGTAACCACCCTCCAGAAGGAATGACAGTGTTGGCATGAATTCAGAGATCATTTGAGGATCTACAGCCGAGTGATACACAAATAAGATACATTCATGTTAATAGTTAGGTGGTGTTCTTAAAAACGCATTCAAGTACCCTATCTTTCAAAACAGTGGGCTTTGTGCTGTCTGTATACAATGATGGTCTGTAGGTTTAAATACTGCAATTTAATAGCAAACATACTTGTGTGTCTACATTTTAAACATTGTGGCGTGACCACCTAAAGACCATTTACAAGAACTGTTGCATTAAAACCACATGCCATTATCTGTGGCACTGTGCAGATATTAGAAGGATTTAACGTTGTGGAATATGGACAATTGGGATATAAAATAAATGAAATATGCACTTTAGTATGTGGCTGTATAGAGTGGGGGTACACCACAGTAAAGTGCTGTAATTATAGATCTAGCATTTTAAATATGTAAAAGGTGTTTATTCTTTTCCATTTGTTGTATAATAAAGGATATTGCTGTACATATAATTGTGGGTGCTTGTGAGTGGCAATTACCCCGTTTCCTTATTTATTCTAACAGGTAAATTATACAGGTTATACCCACAAACTAATTTCATGTTGAATAAACAAAGAGATCCAAGCATAAGGGTTAAAAAAGTAAATTAGATATTCGGGTACAATTCCACAGAGTGTGCTGACAATATAAAGCTATTCAGAGTTGAAACTAGGCTTGAATGTTATGTAACCACTGGGCTTCATCACCAACACCATGCCAAATGCAATAAGATTGACTTCCTGTAGATTGGTAAACTTTACATAATCAAAAACACTCTTTGGAATTGATCTCACAACATCAACTTCTAAAGGTTACTGCACTTTGTACAGTCTGTCCTTGCATTACCTTAAAGAAGACTGACTGTTCTATTCTTTGCAGGCCTGGAAAAGGTGTAATGGAACTACAATTCCCAGCTTGCTCTATAAGTTATTGTTCGAACGTCTACTTTACATCACGAGACACAAAGCTAGATCAGTCATTGCTCTGGAAGAGAGAGAGAGAAGAGGCAACTCACCAGAGTCCATCATAACTACTGGACACAATGAGGGAACCGTCACGGTTAAAGTGCACCTGCAAAAAAGAAGAGGAGGAGTCACACACTATAAAGGGTCACAGCATATGCCCATTCCATCTATTGTTTCATAGTCCCATTGGCAGATTTCTCCTGATAGGGAAACATGACAACCTGTACACGGATACAACTGAATGTCACTGTCTGATGCAACCTTGTGTGTTCCTTCATATCTGGATTTCTCCTTTAAAGTGTTTCTAAAGTCAAAAAATTAACCTCTTGGGCCTGCTAAAAGATCTTGAGGTGATAACCCCCTGTGTTCTCTGCTGAATTGTCAATTAGCATTGTTCCCAGAAATCTCTGAATTACAGAACACTTGGCTTAGGTTATGAAGCAGAGAGAGGGAGGTGTTCTGTAGTCTTTTCCTAGGGCTACATTGTTGCTCCTCCATAGATATAGCACAGTGAGGGAGTGTCGTTTCCCTAAGACAAGAAGTGTTTTTCTGGCAGGATTACAAGGCAAGTAAAGAAAACAAAACCATCTAGGGACTGGTAAACTGCAATATATTTAAGTTTTGTACTTGGGTTTAGATATAGTTTCATTATTTCCCTGCAGAGTATCTCTCCAGAAACGCTACAAACTGCACCTAGGATAAAGTGTACAGCTCTCCAGAAACAGCTACAGAATATCTGATATTTAATACCGCCTAGATTCTGCAATCTTCCTTTACCACATGCGGGAGACTGGGAAGCCTCATGGCTTTCCTAGACCCTCCACCTATGTGTGTGGATTTTTAGAAAACTGCTCAGAATGTCTTACAGCTGAGACGGGGTCAGAGTGGGCAGGCAACGTCTTCAGGCACTTCCCCGTCTTCACATCCCATATCCGGACACTTTCATCAAACTAGACAAACACAAAGAACATAATGTATTACGTCAAGCTATTAAAAATTCTAGATCTGCCCAATACAGATAAAACAGCAGATGTTTATAAGACCTTATACATTACTTTTACCATGCATATTTTGTTATAAATACTCTGCCCTTCATATCAAGTATGTTTATTTAGTTTCCAGTTAGTTTGAAATATTGCAATGACAATCGTTTATAATCTTTTTTGGGGTATTAACAAATCTGTCCAGGTCATTTGAGAAAATATCTTTGCAGGATAAGCAATAAACTATCTTCCCGCATTCTTTGCTCTATGACATACCAAAGGCACGAAGATATATAGAAGACAATTGCTTTTAAAGTGACACTAAACTCAGGAGTTACATTTCAAAATACATTCAAAAGTACTCCATTACCAAAAATGCATCTTATTTCTGTATCACTCGGCTGTAGATCCTCAAAACATCTCTGAATTGGTGCCGACACTGTCCTTCCTTCTGGAGGGTGGCTACTTTTGTTCACCATGGTCCCCGTGAAGTCACCGCTCCAAGCTTGCTCCAATGAAGGACTACAATCTCAATACAAATTAGTAAACTAAACATGAGATTGTAGTCCATCGAGGGAGTGAGCTTGGAGTGGTGTCTACTTTACAACACACACAGGGACCATGGGGAACAAAAGTAGCCTCCAGAAGCAAGGAAAGTGTCAGTACCAATTCAGAGATGATTTGAGCAGCTAGAGACAAGTGATATACAAACATAATACATTTTTGTGAATAGTTTGGGTACTTTAATGCATTTTTAAGATTTAGCTCCTCAAGTTAGTGTCACCTTATTTCACTACTTTTTGGGAGAAATGAAGAATTTTTTTTTAATAAGCTGTAAGGACACCAACAAATAAATGTGTTCATGTCTGAATCTGTAATTGCAATGTCAGTACTAAGATGCTGTCTTCATAACTCTGTACTTTGAAAATTGTTTAACTTCCATTAATAAAAAAAAAAAAGTACAGGAGAAAAGCATCTGGGCAATGTGGGGCTTACAGAGTTTCACTGGAACCAGGAAACACATTGGCTGCATGCTTAGATTCAAGACTGTTTGGAAGAGGAGAATACCAACAAACAGAATTTTGCTAGCAGGGCAGCTAGGTTAGAGAAATGTCAGAATGGAAGTTATAGCTAGCAGACAGTTAGTGCCCACTTCATGTTAAATGTGACATTTATATGCCTGACTGGTTTACCTTGTACCTTCTATACTTTGAAAAGGATACTTACAGACCCAGACACAATGAGGTTAGATTGTGGGTTGAAATTGCAGCAGAAGACATAGTTGCTGTGGCCTTTCAGGGTCTTCAAACATTTTCCCTGGTAAGAAAGAAAGTTACTTAATGAGAAGAAAAAAAATCGCACACACATCTTATATGAATATACCCAAAATTAGGGCTGTTCAGATACCAAGTACAGTACTCAGTATAAGTACAGATACTTATCCAGCTCCAAGAATAGACTAGAAAAAATCTCAAAAGTTAGGAGGCAGATATAATTTTTAAAGGAGCATACGGAGCTCCTGGGATTTGTGCATCCCTGTTTTATTGTATGATTATTGTATGATTTGTATGTATCTAGTCCCTAGATCAGGGGTGGCAAACACAAGGCCCGCGGGCCGAATGCGGCCCGCCGGACCTTGTAATGTGGCCCGCACAGCGCTGCCTGCTGTCAGGATGGCGGAGCGGTGAGGGGGAGAGAAGCCGCGCCCGCAGCTGTCAGGATGAGAATATGTGTAGGGCTATCAATCACTGATAACACTAAACGAATGAGCGGTAAAAGCTTTTAAAGCGTCACCTATGGTCAATTTTTCCGATTTTGCGGGTGCGCGCAATTTTAAAGCATGACATGTTTGGAGTCTATTTACCCGACGTGACCCCGACTCTTATATTTTAGCAAAAATATGGGTGATAAATGGGTGTGGTTACTGGGGGTGTGGCCGCTATCACCAGTAGCAACTGAATGCAGAGGCAACTATTTATGATAATAAAGAGTAGATGCATAGTCCTATACAACCGGCCCTTTGAGGGTAACCATACTGCTGATGCGGCCCCCGATGAATTTGAGTTTGCCACCCCTGCCCTAGATAGACATTATATATATCTATCTCAGGACAGTGGTGGAGTGCCAGAGCCAGGTCCCAGCTGCAACCCTGGTAGTTCTCGTGAAAATGCAAAGTATTGGCACTGGCATCTGAACATCCGAAACCTAAAATAATTATAATTTCAGTAATAAATACATAACAGATGAATGCTTTCATGGGCCCATGTCCAGCACACTGAAATTAGTCATTTTCTCTTAACCAGTTGACATCCGCGGTGTTAAACCCCCTTCCCATCCAGGCCATTTTTCAGTATTCAGCGCTGCGGTACTTTGACTGACATTTATTCCGTCATGCAGCGCTGTACTAGGTTAAAGATTGATTTAACATGTTTTACCACATGACAGCTGTAATGGAGACAGCATGTCCATTACACACAAAAAAAGCAAAGGTTCTTTGCGATTTCTTTTAAGTGACAAAGACTGCATTTCTTACATGACCAAAAAGTATTCTGTGTACTTTATATAATGTTTAGACTAAAAAGTGAATACTATTAGTGCCTGCATTCATTTAATTAGTAAAATTGCGTATCCTTTAATACCTTTTAAGGCAAGGTTGCCACGTATGTGGCAGCACAGCATTAAAAGGCAGCCAGCAATGGTATTCTGTGCACTCACGCTGCACTCCCATCACAGTACTTGAGTTGTAAGCTGTCAAAAGTAATCTCATTTTTGTTTTAATCTGCAGCTTTGACTACAATAATATCTGGTGATCCTGCCATGAAGATCCTTGTTCGGGCCACCTGTTTAAGAATGATAATGCTCTGTCCCAGCCTTCCAATTGTGCCCCTGCATTGTTAACTAGGCTTTCAATGGAAGCTCCAAGTACACACAAGGATGGCCCACTGTTACCACTAGGAAAACTGCCCTGAGAAATTACACGCAGCCAATGTTTGAGTGCATGCACATAGACAGAAAGGGCATGCAAAGATCAGCAAGCACTGAAAAGCAAAGGATTACAAAAAGTGAAATTTTTTTTTTTTTTTTTTATGGATATGTTTTGATACACAGTACTTGAGCAAAAACAAAAATCAGTTAGGGTTTACATCTACTTTTAAGGAACTCACCGAGCTGACATCCCAGATTTTTAGAGTTTTGTCATCTGAGGCAGAAACCAGGAGATTGGAATCGGAAGACCAGGCAACATCTGATATACCCTGAAATAACCACAAAGACGTTAACCTAATAATATAACTGTCATTTATTCACAAGCTAGGTGGTCTCCTGGGAGGAGCTGGCCTTCTAATTGGTGGCCTTTCAGGAATGATTGTACTAAACAGATTTATATGACTATTTACACCAGGCAAACCTTCCCAAGAGAATGGGTCACGCCAGACAGATTTATAAAAAGCAGTATGAGGAGGGAGACAGGGAGAAGTCAGACACCTACCAGCTTATGTCCTGAAATGGTCTTCTCAAACTTGCCATCATATGCCCCCCATATTTTGATTAGTTTGTCAGCAGCTGAAAGAGAAAAACTTACTACTAAATAAATCTTGTAATGCAAATGTAGATTTTTGTACACAAACATGTAATTTTAGTGTTTGTGTGAGAGAAGGGTACAAATATTACATTTAAGCCAAGTTCCACCAGGTCTGAGATACAGTAAGGTACCTAAAACAATCGAAAATTACCCTGCTAGGTTATAAGTAAACTAAAAAAATTCAACCAAAATGCTTGAACATGCCTTTCATTATGAGGATAACGTCCCAGGAGACGTTATCCTCATAATGTTCTCTCTGTGCCTGGGGACAGCGTCCAGACCCTGGACACAGGTAATACAAAGGCCTCACCTTCTGCTCTTACAATACACGCCATTGAGAATCTCTGATGAATGGCAGCAGTGGGACCTAGCTGGAATTTAGGGCAGAAGTCAAGGAATCAGTATTAGGAGCTCCCTATGCTGAAAAATGGACCTGTGAATTACAAAAAAGGGGAGTTTCCAGGGAGAGAGGATGGGGCACTTCTAAAACATAACCAAAAGTTAAATCACTGAACCATCTACGATACCCATCTTCACTTTCAGCACAATACACTCAAAGCTGCAGTACAACTGAGCTTTCATAATGCATATGAAGGTTCTTACATGAGCTGGCCAGCCACTCTCCGTTGGGGCTAAACTTGACGGAAGACACGGCCTTGGTATGCCCAGCTAACGTGAACTTTAGTGTATAATTAGGTTTCACTGGAGCTGACTGAAATGAAGAGAAAGAGATTAATTAGTACATACAACCTTCCCACACACATCAGACAACTGTCTAAAGATTGCTTTTCTAAACAATTCTTTAAAAAACATGGATCACCAGACTGCCAGAGAGCAAATTATGTATGAGCTGTACAGGTTGACAATCATCTCACATCTATGGATACTATGAAGGTTGTTTTTTTTTCCCCATAAAAATCCATTACATATGACAATGCATCTTGGAATGCTGCCTCACGGTTTAAAAAAAAATTATGCTTACCGTTAGCAATGCTGCTCCTGTGAGCTCCCCCTCTCCATGAATTCGTGGCCCCAGTCCTCAGGCAACGAGAACTTGGCTAGGAGAACTCTGCTTGGCTAACCATGCATGCGCAGCCTACTCTCTCTCACTTTCAGAACCCTAAGCTCAGCTGCTGCTGTGGAAGAAAGTGGACTGCACATGTGCAGTTAGGCTACCCGAGTTTTAGCCAAATGCTCACTCATGCCTAACTAAGCCATTAAAAAGGTGCTAAAATGCTGGAAGGGAAGTTCATACCTCACTGGCTGCCAGCAAGTCTCTAACCAGTGGCAGAAGAATAAAGCTGGCCATACACCTATAGATTATCTGCAGATGTTCTGTGGTCAGATGGAAAAAGTGCAACAGATTCCTCCATCTACGCTAAACTGTGTGGATGGAGGAATCTCCCACTGGGCCAAGCTTCAGTATATTGCTAGTCGACCCCATTGGCTGTCAAAATACCTTAACAATCTGATTCTATGCAGGCACTGTTCAGGTATTTTGAGAGCCAGCGGGGCTGATTAGCAAGATACTAAAGCTTAGCCCAGTGGGAGATTCCTCCAGCCACACAATTTAGTGTTGATGGAGGAATCTGTTGCACTTTTTCCATCTGTCCATAGAACATCTGCAGATAGTCTATAGGTGTATGGCCAGCCTAAGGATGACAGCCACAAAGCTTGCATTTCTGACAGCAAACAAAAAGCAGCACACGCAAAAGTTAGGCTTCTTTAAGCTGATATTTAAAAGAACACTAAGTCCAGGGAGGTATATTTAATTATTTACTATCCACCGTTTGTAACTTTTTAGACCAATTAAATGTTTTTAAGTATATTGAGATCATGTAAATAAAAATCTTTATTATATTATATATATTTATGACCAGTCATCATGTCTTGTTACCAAGCTAAGCCATGTTATCCCACATTCATCATTGGACACTTTTAAAGCCCCATTATCGCTTTGGTTTTTCATGTATTGTATTCAGGGGTGTGGTGTCACAGTTCCGATGGGTGTTCTGGGAGATACCCACTTGTTTTATTTAAAAGAATATGTCTGAAAATACACTGGTAATGCATCAAACTGTGAAAATGACTGCGTAAGAGAAACTCTGCCATATAGTAGTTACCCCTATTAAACTGAAAACTATAATCAATTTTTACAATTGTCCTAGTCCTTGGAGTGATAAACAGCAGCAAGATTCATAGAATATGGCTCATTTAATTAACATCCTATACCTGAAAATGTGTTTAATAAACTGGAAAGCATTGTGCAATTGTCTCCCTTTCTCAACAGAACAAACTGAAGCAATTTCTGGACCCCCTCCCCCTTTGAAAGGATGCATGCAGCAAAAGAGTGCCCTGAAAATGTGCACAGAAACAGGATCCAGTCTTGCTTAAATGGACACCGAAGTGTTTTTTAAAGGTATCTGAAGCATCTTCAACTGTGCATCCTAAATATGTATTTGTTAAACCCCTTTTAATAATACAGCACACTTGGGGAATATTAAAACATGTTCAGTGACAGGTTCACTTTAATGCAAGTACAGACTGACAGACCTTGCTCTGGTTTGTGGAGGATGAAGGAGTGGATTGCGTTTTAGAAGCTTCAGTCTCTGGCTTCTTCTCCTCGGTCGCCATGGTACATAAGCCAGACAAAAATCACACCAAGTGCAGTAATGTCACCTCCGGCTGCTAAAAGAACAGAAATCAAAAGAATTAGAATGACATCAATGTACTTTCTATACCATAACTTGGATTCCCCAAATACTTTATGTCCCCAGATAAAATGAACTGGACATTAATAATGAGTGATCATTATCTTTGGGTCCAGTTTAAAGCAGACCTATACCCTACAGATGGGTAAGATCTAAAAAAAGCACTAGTGCAACAGAGGATACCCACTGCTGTAAAGTCCTTACTTTTACTGGAGTAAACAGTGCGCTGGACTCCCTCCAATGGATGATCATGTGACTGCTCTGCTTAAAGAAGTGTACACAAAGAGCAAGAATCGGTTGAAATTCGCTCCGTGTGAATCCTATTCCATCAACAGAAATCGAGCATTAGATTGACTTTTGCTGCAAGCACTGTTCAGGTATTCGGACAGCAGCCGCTGTCAAAATACAAAGCTTACAGTGGGAGATTCATCCAACCATGCTGCTCAGCGTGGATGGAGGAATCTGTTATTTTTTCTTTGTTCAGCCTGCAGGTTGAACGAAGAACATATAAGCGCATATACCCAGTTTTACATCAGAACCTCAAGTATTATGCTTTATGTGTTCAAAGAAGCACTATTATTACTGCAGCATATATACTGCCTGGCCATAAAAAGAAGTCACACACTCCAATATTTCGTTGGACCACCTTCGGCTTTAATTATGGTACGCATTCGCTGTGGCATCGTTTTGATAAGTTTATACAGTGTCACAACATTTAGTTCCAGCACAGTTGCATTAACTTTTCACCAAGATCTTGTAGTGATGGGAAAGTCAGACCAATGTGTAAAGTCTTCTCCAGCACATGTCAAAGATTCTCAATGGGGATAAGGTCTGGACTCTGGTGGCCTATGTGTGAAAATTATGTCTCATGCTCCCTGAACCACTCTTTCATAATTTGAGCCCAATGAATCCTGGCATTGTCATCTTGGGTATGCCCGTGCCATCAGGGAAGAAACAAATTTGATGGAAAAACCTGGTCATTCATATATTCAGGTAGGCAGCTGACCTCATTTTGTGGGCATGTAACATTGCTGAACCAACCCCAGATCATAACACTGCCCCAACAGGCTTGTACAGTAGGCGCTGCCATGATGGGTGCATCATTTCATCCCGCTCTTTTCTTTCCCTGATGCACCCATCATCACTTTTGAACAGGGTGAATCTGGATTCATCAGAACACGTGACCCTTTTTCCATTACTCCAGAGTCCAACCTTTATGCTCCCTAGCAAATTGAAGCCTCCCTCTCCTCCCCCCGATTAGCCTCACTGATGAGTGGTGTTCTTAAAGGAGGACTATGAGGCGAGAGATTTCCACTCATCCTCATAGTTCGAGCCGACATGCGACATCGAAACTGTCACACGTCGACTCTATAGATCGGGAAGTGAGAGAACACATACCGTCGCTCACTCACTTCCCGATCATCTTCCTGCATAGAACAGTAACTGTCAGTCACCGCTCCACACTCCAGCGCTGACTGGAGGAGCGGACGGGGACACAGGGGGTGTGCACAGTTGGTTCTGCCTCTAGATAGGCAGAGCCCTCTGTCAATCAGCCAACTGGGTGGATCTCGACAGTATTGTCGGGTTCCGTCCCGGGTGCAGCGCTCTCAGTATATAGCGGGCAATAGCCCGCTATATACTGAGCTTTGGGTCACGGGAGGAGGTTAGTATATGTCCTCCCATGAACCCAAAGAGCTATGGGATAAAAAGGTTACCCCATAGTTCTCTTTTAAGGCTACACAGCTGTTTAGTCCCAATCCTTTGAGTTCTCTTTGCACTGGGCCTGGTGGAAATGCTTTTACTTTCACTATTAAACATAGCCGTGAGTTTTACTGCTGATTTTTTACAATTTTAAGTCACCAAACGTTTGTGATCTCCGACTACGATCATTCAAGATTTGTTTTCCAAACACGTTCCTTCCATGAGGATGATGGTTCACCACTAGCCTTCTAGGTTTTAATAATGCGTTGGACAGTTCATAACCCAAATTTTAGAAGTTTCAGTGATTGCCCGAGTTGTTTTCTTTGCTTGATGCAGGCCAATAATTTGACCCTTCTAAAACAGTCACATCTTTTCCACGACCACAGGATATATCTTCTGACATGGTTGTTTAAGAAAGGAGGCTATTCACTGCATCATTTTGGGGTAAATAACTTGTTGCCAGATAAAACATTAATGATATCAGTAATTATGCAATGGAAGGCTCTTGCCTACTTGCTTAGCTAAATCCAGGTGGTGACTTTTTGGCCAGGCAGTGTACAGGCTAAAAGCATGCATAAACATATGGAGAATTCCCAACCGACGGGCATCCCCACATACCAGGGCTGAGGGGGGTGTTGTGCTACTTGGGAGTTATGCCTATACCAGCGCAGTATGCAGAAAGCCACAAAAACATCCCCACATACCAACACAGGGCCACAGGAGCATCACACCACATACTAGCTCCTGAGTCTATAGTGATCTCTAAAGAGGGATGAGGCTCCACGAATGGAAGCATCCGGGATGAAGGAGGCAATGGGAGTGTGTGGGGTCACAGGAGCATTCCCAGATACCATCATAGTGGGGTGATGGAGCAAAGAAGAGCGTCCCCACATACTGGCTGCTAAGCCTATAGAACTCTCCTAAAACGCTTTAAGCAATGGAGGGGAATGTAGCAAAACTGAAGCAGACATAATCTGGAGCAGTTGTCAATGGCAACCAATAGATTCTCTTTAACTTTCAAAACAAACTGTCCCAGAGAAGCTGATTGGTTGCCGTGGGAAATTGTTCCAGATTATTAAAACTTGAGCAGAAATTGCCCCCACAATGCTAATCCCAGCAGGGACTGGTCCCTGGAAAACTATAGAGATTTGTACCTGCAGGATGGACATTTGGTAACCTACAGAGATCTACTGGCAGGGATGAGTTCTCAGGAACCTACAAAGATTTCCTAACAGGAATGGATCCCCAGAAACCTATACATATTTTTCCCTGCGGGATGGGTCCTCAGGAACCTATAGTGATCTACTGGCAGGGATAAGTCCCCAGGAACCTATAGAGATTTCCCTGCAAGAATGGCCCCCCCCAGGAACCTACAGATATCTCCCTGCAAGGATGGGGCCACAGCAGCCTATAGAGATATTTCCCTGCAAGGATGGACCCGCAGGAACCTACAGAGATCCCCCTGCAGGGATTACTCTCCAGGAACGTATAAAGATCTCCCTGCAGCAATAGTCCTTTAAGTAACCAGAGAACTCTCCCTGCAGGAATGGGTCCCCCCAGGAGCCCTATAAAGATCTCACTGCAAGGATGGGTCCCCCCAGGAGCCCTATAAAGATCTCACTGCAAGGATGGGTCCCCCCAGGAGCCCTATAAAGATCTCACTGCAAGGATGGGTCCCCCCAGGAGCCCTATAAAGATCTCACTGCAAGGATGGGTCCCCCCAGGAGCCCTATAAAGATCTCACTGCAAGGATGGGTCCCCCCAGGAGCCCTATAAAGATCTCACTGCAAGGATGGGTCCCCCCAGGAGCCCTATAAAGATCTCACTGCAAGGATGGGTCCCCCCAGGAGCCCTATAAAGATCTCACTGCAAGGATGGGTCCCCCCAGGAGCCCTATAAAGATCTCACTGCAAGGATGGGTCCCCCCAGGAGCCCTATAAAGATCTCACTGCAAGGATGGGTCCCCCCAGGAGCCCTATAAAGATCTCACTGCAAGGATGGGTCCCCCCAGGAGCCCTATAAAGATCTCACTGCAAGGATGGGTCCCCCCAGGAGCCCTATAAAGATCTCACTGCAAGGATGGGTCCCCCCAGGAGCCCTATAAAGATCTCACTGCAAGGATGGGTCCCCCCAGGAGCCCTATAAAGATCTCACTGCAAGGATGGGTCCCCCCAGGAGCCCTATAAAGATCTCACTGCAAGGATGGGTCCCCCCAGGAGCCCTATAAAGATCTCACTGCAAGGATGGGTCCCCCCAGGAGCCCTATAAAGATCTCACTGCAAGGATGGGTCCCCCCAGGAGCCCTATAAAGATCTCACTGCAAGGATGGGTCCCCCCAGGAGCCCTATAAAGATCTCACTGCAAGGATGGGTCCCCCCAGGAGCCCTATAAAGATCTCACTGCAAGGATGGGTCCCCCCAGGAGCCCTATAAAGATCTCACTGCAAGGATGGGTCCCCCCAGGAGCCCTATAAAGATCTCACTGCAAGGATGGGTCCCCCCAGGAGCCCTATAAAGATCTCACTGCAAGGATGGGTCCCCCCAGGAGCCCTATAAAGATCTCACTGCAGGGATGGGCCCCCCAGGAGCCCTATAAAGATCTCACTTCAAGGATGGGAGCACCAGGAGCCTATAAGGATTTCTGCACGAATAGGGTCCCAGGAACCTAGAGAAATCTGCCTGGAGTGATGTGTCCCCAGACATCTAAAGCTTTCTCTCTGCAGAGATGGGCCCCCAGAGTCCTAGCGATCCCCCAGTTATAATGGATCTCCTGGCATTTGCAGACAGGGACTCTGAGAATGTCCAGAGATGTACACGGACAGCCAGGAACCTCCGCATGTGAATACAGGCCCCAAGGACCTCTGTGAGGGGATAAGGGGGTTCCGATAACCCACAGAGTGTGCTAGGGGCCCATACAACGGCGAGACGGGGTACCAACACTTGAAAAGGAGAGTCTGAAGGACCATATGACATAAAGCTCGAGAGCAACTACCACTGAAAGAGATTGGAGCCCACCGGTTACCTGTGCCTAGTGCTCGGGCCTCGCTCTCAGCTCCCCCGCCGGTCACTCATTGAATCCGCCGCACACTGCAAGCGAGGAGGGAGCGCGCCAGGCCACAGAGAGGAGCGGCCACTGCGCATGTGCAATGACTCACAGCGCCAGCAGCGTCATGCCAACCTGCGCCTGCGCAGAGTCTAGCGTGGGTGAGCGAAGCAACGAGGCATGCGCAGAGCAAACAACAGACTACGCATGAGTCATCCCCTCCTGACCCGATTAATGGGCGGGGTTGTCTTGGCTAGAAGAGGGAATATTCAAATACACGTCCGTGTGTATGGTGCTGCGGTCATTCTAAATGAGTATGGGGCGTTTCTCTTCGGTACGGCCAATGAGAAAAAAGATGATCTCTCCCTAATGTCAGGGAATTTACTGACATTTTGTGGTGGCATAGAAATATATCGTACATCAAAGCTTGGAACTTGAGAAAAAGGCACACTTTGGGACAGAGAAGGCCTGCAGCCTGCTTTGGTGATAATAGGCGTGGTTACATTGTGCTGACTAGTGTCTGAGACTACATATAGCATATGTGTCAAACTCAAGGCCTACGGGCCAGGACCGGCCCGCGATGCAATTATCTTTGGCACGCATGATAATATTTAATTATTATTAGATCTGGCCAGCTGGTATATTGCCCACACTACCCTGTTCCCCTGAAAATAAGACCTACCCTGAAAGTAAGACCTAGCACTTTTTTTTAAGATTCCTGTAACAGTGACAGGGAGTGTTTTGGACCTGCTCACAAATTTAGATCAGTTCAAAGATTCCGTACTTGTATCTGCCGCCTGGCCTGATTATACAGAGTATACCCTCGGAGATAAAATGAAATCACGCCAACATCAGTCAGTGTAAAAACACTTCTCCTTTTTAGTCTTCTGCTTTTCATGGTTTTATTTAACAGGTGAACGTGTATATTTGAGCGTAGCATTATTAAGGTAAGTATAGGAAGGTCACCATCACAACAAAGACTAAAATGTCAGTGAAAATCCATTTATTGATGTCAGTCAATACTCAAAGTGTCATCAAGCACTTTTTGGGCCGTGCAGGGTCCCCTTCATCAGGCTCAGAGTATACATACTTGTGATAAAGAAACACCACCTATATATACACACAGAATATAATCATATAACCCCACCCCTCGGCGTCTTAGTGATGTCATGTTCCCGCCAAGCACACTCAAAAAGTAAATACAGGAGATACAGCAACTACAGCAGAGACAGTGTAGAGATCTTAATGCAAAATAGTGATCAGAACATGCAAAATAGTGATCAGAACATTTACTTTTTGAGTGTGCTTGGCGGGAACATGACGTCACTAAGACGCCAAGGGGTGGGGTTATATGATTATATTCTGTGTGTATATATAGGTGGTGTTTCTTTATCACAAGTATGTATACGCTAAGCCTGATGAAGGGGACCCTGCGCGGCCCCAAAAGCGCTTGATGACACTTTGAGTATTGACTGACATCAATAAAAGGATTTTCACTGACATTTTAGTCTTTGTCCTGCTGGTGTGCTGGTGATGTTCCTATACTTACCTATGCTGAGTGCGGCGCCATCCATGGTCACTGCGAGCACCCTCAACTAACACTTGGGAGTTCCGGTAAGGAGTGCTACAGGTCCTTGGACTCTAGTTCTGTAGGAAAGGCCCGCGGCTGTCCCTGCCTTGCCAGACCTCAGAGCAGGGATGAAGAGCTTATGGGGGCCTGCACAATGAGGAGAGAAAGCAGGGGAAGAATCCACAGAAGCGGGCTCCAGATGGAAACACTTTTTTTGTAAGTAAATTCTTTTGTTGTAAATGCACTGTACTATTTAATGTCTGTTTTTGGCTTTTATTATTTAAATATTTAGGCTATTTCTTAAAGGGAAAGTAAATAAAAAAGTTAAAAAAATGGTTTATTGTAATTATGCATCATGCTTTTTAATAACTAAATGTACAGGCTTTGCTATTATACCGTGTGATAAACTGTATAGACCACGGTATTATACTGTGTGATATACTGTACAGGCCGCGGTATTATACTGTGTGATATACTGTATAGGCCGTGGTATTATACTGTGTGATATACTGTATAGGCCGCGGTATTATACTGTGTGATATACTGTATAGGCCGCGGTATTATACTGTGTGATATACTGTATAGGCCGCGGTATTATACTGTGTGATATACTGTATAGGCCGCGGTATTATACTGTGTGATATACTGTATAGGCCGCGGTATTATACTGTGTGATATACTGTATAGGCCGCGGTATTATACTGTGTGATATACTGTATAGGCCGCGGTATTATACTGTGTGATATACTGTATAGGCCGCGGTATTATACTGTGTGATATACTGTATAGGCCGCGGTATTATACTGTGTGATATACTGTATAGGCCGCGGTATTATACTGTGTGATATACTGTATAGGCCGCGGTATTATACTGTGTGATATACTGTATAGGCCGCGGTATTATACTGTGTGATATACTGTATAGGCCGCGGTATTATACTGTGTGATATACTGTATAGGCCGCGGTATTATACTGTGTGATATACTGTATAGGCCGCGGTATTATACTGTGTGATATACTGTATAGGCCGCGGTATTATACTGTGTGATATACTGTATAGGCCGCGGTATTATACTGTGTGATATACTGTATAGGCCGCGGTATTATACTGTGTGATATACTGTATAGGCCGCGGTATTATACTGTGTGATATACTGTATAGGCCGCGGTATTATACTGTGTGATATACTGTATAGGCCGCGGTATTATACTGTGTGATATACTGTATAGGCCGCGGTATTATACTGTGTGATATACTGTATAGGCCGCGGTATTATACTGTGTGATATACTGTATAGGCCGCGGTATTATACTGTGTGATATACTGTATAGGCCGCGGTATTATACTGTGTGATATACTGTATAGGCCGCGGTATTATACTGTGTGATATACTGTATAGGCCGCGGTATTATACTGTGTGATATACTGTATAGGCCGCGGTATTATACTGTGTGATATACTGTATAGGCCGCGGTATTATACTGTGTGATATACTGTATAGGCCGCGGTATTATACTGTGTGATATACTGTATAGGCCGCGGTATTATACTGTGTGATATACTGTATAGGCCGCGGTATTATACTGTGTGATATACTGTATAGGCCGCGGTATTATACTGTGTGATATACTGTATAGGCCGCGGTATTATACTGTGTGATATACTGTATAGGCCGCGGTATTATACTGTGTGATATACTGTATAGGCCGCGGTATTATACTGTGTGATATACTGTATAGGCCGCGGTATTATACTGTGTGATATACTGTATAGGCCGCGGTATTATACTGTGTGATATACTGTATAGGCCGCGGTATTATACTGTGTGATATACTGTATAGGCCGCGGTATTATACTGTGTGATATACTGTATAGGCCGCGGTATTATACTGTGTGATATACTGTATAGGCCGCGGTATTATACTGTGTGATATACTGTATAGGCCGCGGTATTATACTGTGTGATATACTGTATAGGCCTCCGTATTATATTGTGTGATATACTGTATAGGCCTCCGTATTATGCTGTGTGATATACTATATAGGCCTCCGTATTATATTGTGTGATATACTGTATAGGCCTCCGTATTATACTGTGTGATATACTGCATAGGCCTCCGTATTATACTGTGTGATATACTGTATAGGCCTCCGTATTATACTGTGTGATATACTGTATAGGCCTCCGTATTATACTGTGTGATATACTGTATAGGCC